TAAGCCACAAATCACTGCAGATCTGCTTAACTTACATCTAGGTCATCACGCTAATTCTCAAGCTTAGTGAAGCATCACCTTTACAAGACTTTTGACTTTTACTTATATAAACTTCCAGTGATGTTAGCAGTAATTGTAAAGTTATCTGATTCTTTAAATCCATTTTTTTAAATTCAGCTTTCATAAATATCATGGTATGAAGAGAACAGAAATATTGAAAATCATGTACCAAGCCACTGTTTACATGCACTAGAAAGCAAGACTTAATTATCGGTAAATTAGTTAGAAATGTGTCACTTTTTCTTTCAAAATTACTAGAAAAAATTTTCATGTATGCTTCCATCATGTTTAATTTTAACAAGAGCAGTCCAAAGCAGCATGCAGAATTGGGTGCATAAACATAAGCCCTGAAAGACTTAGATCCAAAAAATATCTACTGAACCTTTTAATCATAGTGCTCAATAAAAAACGTGCAAAACAAAGAAAAAAAAATTACAAAATTGTTTCCTTAATGAACTGTTGTATAACTTCATCATTTAAAAGAAAAAGCTCTCGTAAACTTCTAAGGTATTTTTTCTTCCAAAAGAAGAAAAAAATGGTTTTCTTTCTGAAACCAATTAGCAAATGAAGATGTGTTATGTAATATATATGAAAAAGCATAAATAAAGAGGAAGTCCTACAATAGGATTGAATAAAGAGAGCCATAACATCTGATTTCTAATTTAAACTACCCAGTGACTCTGTAGCTTCACATGAAGTACTCGGCTTCTCAGCAGTGCAGTGTAGCGCAGTGCTTTGGTTAATTCAAGACACTGCAAGTTAGCACTGCTGGCAAAGTTCACTGAAGTCTATTAATGTCCTCGACAGTTTTTTACTATTATTTTACTTTGGTACAGGTGTGGCAGGTGATTTATTGATAGTATGAATTACGCCTGCAGCTAAGCTGAAGTCTCACACTGAATGTGTCTAGATTATAGAAATGTCAGCAGGGTTTGCATTACCGAATGACAGACTGCAAATTTCCTCACTGTAACAAAGATTGACTTTGAAGAATACAAAACAGCCTAGCTAGTTAATGGCAGGGAATGTTGTTCTTAAACTACAAATTATTTAATAATATTTGTGATAGGGCCCATTTCCCCATGCAGGACAAAAATAAATTTCATTGATTTAAAATTGAAGTTCACATTGCTCTACAGTAGAATGACAAGAAACCAATTTTTCTTTTTAAATAACAGTCTTTCTACAGAAACTGTCATTAAGAGAAAATGTAAGTCATTATTGATCTCCAAGTGTTCACTTTATGTTCCAAGTTAGCTTAGTTATTCCAAGTTAAGTTTCATTTATCTATTCACTCCCACAAACTTTCAGTCATATTTCAGCTATAAGTTGCATGGGTGTCTGAACTCAAGACAGGGAGAGAAAAATACTTTGGTGCATAATTTCACTCACACGGAGAGATATTAGTGAGTATTTCATACATTATTAACTTATCGAGATATTTATGGGGCTGTGAGATTGGTAAAACCTGAACTCCTTACTCAGGAAAAACTTTAAAAAAACACCCCACTACTTCAATAAATGAAAGTTCTCTACAGGAAAGCTATGGAATAGTGAGTACACATAGAACATTGCTTGACAGCATACTGATCTTCTAAAACGAGAAAAAATGTGTATTACGTTGTGTAATTAACAGTTCTTATCTGGCAACAACATAGTCCTTTGAAGACTGCGAACAAAAAGCACTTAACAAAAGGCACAGATGCACATAAAGTAAAAATATGAGAAAAGAAATAATTTCACCAGATTTCATACAGTCCTATTCTGTAGTAGCTTAATAAAAATAAAATAAAATAAGAAATGATATGCCAAACGAATGCTTGCTGTTGAATATATAATGAAAACGGGTTAATCAAATTCCAATTCCAATTTTGCCTGAGTAAGGAGAGCAGGCTTGGGTCCATACTCCCTTGATGAAAGCCCTATAAAAATAAATAATATCCATTACAGCTACTGCTGAAAACTGCAGGAAATATATTCAGAACTTCTTAAAACATAACAAGAATAGATCATTATCAAAAGCAGAAAGAGAAAACAACTAAAAATTAATTATTCTGTATACACAGAACTTTGAAACTTAGAGAGAAAACAGCAACAAGCCTTATACCTTCTCTCTCATAGAATATATACTTGTTCATCTATTAATGGACATTGTGCATTTTGCACTTATTTTAACAGGAGAGGGAAATGATTCCAAAAGGAATAAACAATTTTCATACGAAAAGTTCAATTATACTGATGTGGTTATCTTTTATTTGTTGTGAAGAAGGAAAACTAGTGCATCACTTGTCAAGTGCCACCCTTATAGGTCTGATTGTGGTGCAGGCTGGTGCACGTACATAAATATGCCAACAGCTGAGCATGACTGCAGAATAACTACACATCTTTGGTCAAAATGTTACAAAAATATTTTAAGAAACAAGATCTGCAGCTTGGGGCTTAATCTTTCTAATAGTACTTCTGTAATGAAAAGATAAAACCCACTTCACATTTGAGATACTAAAAATATCGTCACCGCATGTTTCCAGTAATTGTCATTTGGGCACTGTAACCACTGATCCTCTGTCAGTGAAACTCTCCACTCACCACAAGAGCAGACAATTTACCTACATAACTGCATGCCTGCTCAGACCAGAACAGCACTTTTTGCCTTTCAAGGAGAGTTGCACATTCCAGTGAAAGGTGTGGATGAGGAGCATTTGCATCTCTACCTGCGGCAGCAGCACAAGATGCCTGGGATATCACAGCAGATGATCACAGACCTCACAAAAGTCAGAATCAAAACCATAACAAACAGGAATACAGCAGGTTGCCGTGCGCGATCGCAGAGGCCAAATGAATCCATAGCTATAGAGTAGGCTGAGGAGAAAGAAGAGAGGCTGACTGCCAGCTGGGATGTCTTGTGACAAAACTTTGAGCAGTGAAGGAAGTTAGTTGGGAGACTGTAGTACAGAAGGGCTGTGAAATTGTTTTTTGACTCCTAAGCAATTAGTATGGCATCCTGACGTATAGCTGCTCAATTAAAGAGGTTCACTGCGCAGAACAATGTAGTTTGAGTTATGTAATTAATATTATTAGCTTTAAATAAAAGGAGATTTTAAAAATTAATGGAAGGCTATTATAGGATTGCTATTCTGTTACTATTTTTATTTACTAAGGATAGCTGCATTGGCCAATGTTACATCTACTTTTTGTTTGTTTTCATATGTCCCCAGGCAAAATAAATAAATAAATAAACAAATAAGTATCTTGCTTGGAAGAACTGCAGAACAATTCAGTGTGGATGGCATATAGCAACTGCAGGCTTAAAATTCACAAGGTTGTACTGTAAAGTCTTGCAGCTTCTTGCAGTATGTTGACAAAACTAAATGCAACTGTTTGATTTCTAGGTGTGAATGTTTCACCGGAGGAAAAATCTGTCAGATAAAGATCCTCACCATCATTTGAACACTCGAACTGGACTTCCTTTTCTGAATTGACCAGTCAGAGAGAAAGGAAAAGAAGAAAATGTGACTGGTTGGATTTAAAGTATCAATGCATGGCGTACAGTATATTTCTTTCTTTTTTTTTTTTTAATAGGAAAAGACAGCTTAAGCTGTAGGAAAGAGTAGAAAAGCGCTATGGAGAATACAGTACCTCAATAAAATAAATGACAAAAATAAGACTTCCCCAGATGTAAATTTACTCCCTTTGCTCCACATGACCATGCAGGCAAACAGTAGCTACAAAATGTGCTGAAAACCAAAGTATCAACTTAGGCAAAATTTTGGCAACAATTGTTTGTAGTATTATAATAAAAATTGAGATAGAATAATACCACTGTAGACCTGTAGGAGGAATGATATTTAAAAAAGAAAAGCTGTTCAGCTGAAGTACACAAAATTTATATATTCCACAATGACACGTATTAAGGATTTTCCACAGACATGACAGAAAAGTACTGAATGTGTGCTTCTCCAGATAAGTAAGATATCTACTTGTCAGTGAGAAGCACTGAAATCATGGTGCATTCACTTCATTTTCAGTCAGTCAAGCTTATTTTATAGGAAAAGTGTGAGTATTTGAGAGAATAGGATCAAATATACTGTGAATCATTATTTAAGTATACAATGTTTCGTTCAGGGAAAAAGTTAATAATAATAAATTAAAATTCAGGTCAAAGATACACTCCTGAGAAAATACATCGAGAACAGAAGAATTTCTTTCGCATCATACAGTGAAAGCCTGAGGCACTTATTTTAGTCTTCAAGATTTCTCCAAGAAAAAGAAATAAAATATTTTTCTCTGCTGATTTTTTTTTTTTTTTCTGTCTGTTTTTCAAAGTATTTTTCCAGAATTTGTGAAGCATCTCTCCTCCTGCAGGATCTGGTGACATGAGAAAGGAGCTCTAAATCGTGTATGAAAGCTGCCAAAATGTTCCCTTCTTAGCAAGATCTGTTCGTCAAGATGAGCTGATTTGTTGAGACAGTAAACCCCTCCAGTTCTGCCAAATATAGCAAGTACATCTGGCAGAAAACACCTCATATGGAGCCAAGAATACCAGTAAACCTTTGGTCTTCCACGGAATCTAATGAAAAGTCAAGGGGAAACATGGAGACAAGAAAGCTACCGGTAAGCTCTTAAACCTTGAAAACAAACGTGCCCACCACCAAACCATCAATTATATTTACAAGCTAGTTATTAGCATTGAGTCACACAATCATCCTTCACTGAAATATCAAAAAAAGTATTTTCTCCAGCAGCTTTCTATTTCCCACTTATAAAAATCCTTGTTTTTCAAATATTTCTTTTATTTCATTTCTTAATTTTCATCTACTAACTTTAATAATTTCAACATTACATAATGAAAATAAATAACAATATTCAATTCCAAGAACCAGCAGAAGTTACAATTAAGCGATGACTAAGCATACATATTTTAAAGCGTGCATTTAACCTACCTTAACTCCATCTGGCTTTTTCAGTAAACTCTTGGCTGCTGTAAAACGAGACAAGTAATTTCAATGTCAGATGGTTACTATGGAGGTCAATCAGCTGTTGTAGCAAATCCCCATTTGCCTCCCAGCTGCACATACATTTTCAGTTTTTATTTCCTCCTTTTGTTGTTCTGAGTGTGGGAAATAAATGCTGAAAATAATTAAACTACTAATACTTCAGATTATCATACATTTCTTATTCCACTGATTATTAACTGCTGGTTAACTGTACTTACAAAATTCTACCTATAAAATGAGAAACCCAACTGTTAGGAACTTTCCTGGGTGGCATACAGGAAAACAGTTGCATCTGGTATCAATTTGAGAGTGCCACAAAAATACCCAATATCACATCAACAGAATACTTTAAGAGCATAGAGAGGTACATTACTGGCTATTTCATTTAATGAAAAGTAAACTGGATTCTTTAAAAAAGCACCTCTGGCTTTGATTCACTGGGAATTTTCTACCATAAAGCATCAGTTCCTCATGTGATAGTCTGAGAAGTCACACATATGAAAGAAAAACCTGTTAGTGGCAGGAACTGATGACAAACCATAATTTTATTCAAAGGTTTGTCAAGCTTTAAATTCTATCACTTCAAGTGGCGGCAAGAATCTGGCCAAATTATTCCCCAGAGAGCTAATGTGCAAGAAATGACACCACAGTTCAGAACCTGCAAGCATTTACAGCAGAAAAGCATGATTAAAGATCTACCAAATTATACTATTCACAAAAATGCTCTGTGACTCTCTGCCAAAGATTTATAAGATAAGCCTGGCATCTTTTGTTTTTTACTGTTTGTGAGCCAATTTTCCTATCAGAAGGTACATCACAGCTTATGGTGAAACTGCTCTTCTCATACAGTTTCACTCAGAAGTAGGAGCCTTTTTGGAAAAGAAAAGCTCCAGTTAGCAATCCAGCATACCCAACTGGAGGCAGAGCTGGCATGAGCTTCCATCATTATTGGTATCCTTCTCTTAAAAACAAAACAAAACAAAACCCAAACTGAACAAACAGAACAAATGATTGGATCTTGCTAGACTGAGGCTATTCAAATGAGCTGAGGATTTTGAAGTTAATGAGTTATCCGGCTTAAAGCTGAAGTTTGTGTACTTGTGGCTCATACACTGGTTGTATCTGCATCAAGTGCACATTTAGCTCTGTGCAGAGAACAGAAAATGAAAAATCACCTACAACACTGTAAAGAAATAACTGCTGTCCATTACTGTGTTATTTAAATTTAAAAAAAAAAAAAAAAAAAAAGCCTGGAAAATGACATCAGGCAAATGCATTGTGTTAGCTACGGATATCAGCTATTAGACTGATGTTCTCTCATAAGGCCCATGATTTCCAATTAAAATTAACAAATATTAAATTTGCCAGCATTATGCAACAGACACAGTGCATGGTTGTATTTACAGAAACATTCATATTTTTTAAAAAAGTATCTTACAGGATTTGGAGGGGACAGGGTACACCCGTCTGTAATGTGTGTGCTTATAGGACTTGATACAACATGGCCATATATTTTATATCACAGCAAACATTCCAGGCACTCCAGGAATTCATTTAGGAGAAGCAAAGGGAAGGAGCTATTTCTTGAACTTCAGGTTAAAAAAAAAACAGAAATTCTTTGCTTTCAAAGTCTGTTTTCTACCATTAGAGCTTATAAAAATGTGAGAAAACATATATTAACGATTACAGGCTGCTGCTCATAACAAACTAGGTCCTTGGGCTACAGCAGTGCAATGTATCTTTTCATTACATTCTGAGTTCTTTCAATGCTAAACCAACATTACAGGTTATATTAAAAAAAAAAAAAAAAAAAAAAGCCAGTAAAATGTAGGCACTAAAAGCAGTAACTACAAGTATTGTGTTTATGGCATTGCCAGCATGTCCTTCGAAATGTGCCCAGTAAGCAGTATGGATTATTATGCAGTATTTTGTGTTATAGGACATATTTCATATTTAACTTCCTTTGCAATTGCTGTTTTTGTCTTGGAATGTGTATATACATATATATAAATATTTTAATGCATCTAAGCACAGATACTGCATACAAATCAAGTATTTAAAGAATTTGCAGTAGCAAAGCAATTAGCATATTCTAAATTAAGCCCACAATGAAAAATTTCTTGCAACTAGAAGAATTAGCTATAAATAAAACCTACAGCAGTGCTAGTAAGCCAGAAAGCAGACTTAAGAGAAATGGCACTGTGACAACATGAAGAAATTAAAGTGATTTACAGCAAATGGCAATTTTGAAGAGAAAAAAGATGTTCCTTTCACGTGCTGAGGGTCTTACCTCACAAGAAATATACATTCCACATAAAAGGAAGAAAGAAAAAGGAAAATAAAACACTTTTATAACCACATTGTTATGGACAAAGGACGTTCAAACGCATGCTTTGCGATGAATTACAATGAATAAACAACTTGAAAATAAAAATACATTAATGGCTCATTACGATATAAAACAGAGAGAATGGGTGAAAAAAAAAAATACCAAGGAAAAAAAAAGCCAAAATCCTGTTTGCTTTTCATGCCAAAATCATATTTTAAAATGACTTCAGATTCTTTTCCTTTATGAAAGTTGAAATTGACCCTTACGTACATAGACAAGTTATGAAAAGTGATGAGAAATGACGTATTTACTTGGCACTTAAGAATAATTAATTCCTACAAAATAGGAAGCCTACAACATTAACTTGAAAATAAAATGATACTGGCAATACATTAAGCCATAGCCTTGTAAAACTTATTTGAAAGTAATCTTCCGTGTTACACGTGTATATTAAATACTGCAGGCTAGGAAGGGGTGTATATTTCACGTGCTATGCAAATTGAACAAACTGCTTCTGCATTCATCATTATTTAATTTATTGTGAACGATTCCGTGCTTATTATTATTCAAAATATGCCTAAAGCATTATCATGTTTTTGTCTATAAATTAATTTCTGTTCCACAGTTGCATTATAGGGTAAGAAGACTGTAATATTACCGACTTTTGAATTTGGCTTTTTTTTTTTTTTTAACTATGCACTTAAGATCTCAAATGGTAAAATGAAAAATTCAGCAGAGTATCTTAGTTCCAGCCACAGTGCTGTTGAGGACAATTCTAAGTCTATTAATAGTAAACATATTTTATCTTTGTCTATTAAAATTTATGTTGCGTAAAGATCTAAATCTTCAGGTACCCTCAACTACAGAATTATTTTATAAGAAGAAACATTTATTGCTTTATTAAATGAGGCAATGGAAAAGAAGGGAAAGAAGGACTAACTTTATTACTTTATTAATTTATTACTTCTTAGAAAAGCAGTAAGGAAGGAACATGTGTGTATTTCTGCTTTTGTTTTAGAACAAGATGCAATAAAACCTTTGAATGAGATTTGAAATACATACTTACTCATATGGAACTACATGCATTATTTTTGATTTTCCTCCACCAAAATAAAACGGGAAAATTCTGTCTTTCAAAACATAACATTAAAAATACAAAGAGACACATTCTACTTAAAAATTACACCACTGATGCCTGCTAAAATTTATTCTATTTAGTTCAAATAGTTTAAATTCTCTCGTTTCTGCAAAGAAAAAAAACTAAAGACATATCATCTTTATATATTCTTGCAAAACAAAGATTTTTATGTGCTAAGAAATCCTAATTATATTTTAGTCATTATTACAGACATCAAAACATAAAGACCACATGAACCTGGAGCTCAGTTAACATACCTGAGAAATTTCTGGTAGCCAGCATAGTTGTCAAAATGGCCCCCTGTGTAGACATACATTTTTTCAAATTAGTAACATACTTCTTTGAAGTACTGAATGATAACACAACAGGAAAAAAGAAGTACACGCGTGGTAAATCACACAAACTGCTTAATTACATAAACTATTTAACCCTGAAAGAATGGATTGGCTATGCATTACCTGTCATTAACTGTAATTCAATCTTAATTGCACAGCTACTAGCAATCCTGGAAATCTCTTATTAACTGTAAGTTTGTAATGCACAGGCCACAACTACTTAGAGACACAGTAACCAGAAGCATAATATATAGTTGAATATGAAACAGACTTCACTCATTTGGTTGGATTATTCTTTCCGTAGGTAGAGGAGTTGATTTGTAATGTACTAATCAGAAAACTTCACAATTTGCAAAGTTTTCCTGTCCATGCAGGAGAAAACAAATGATAACCTAGAAGAACAATCTTAGGGATCTTCCCTAAGATTTTCCCTAAGATTTTCCCATTTTTAATGTGCATGCAGGAAGATGATTGTTGTTATTTGGAATCCAACAAAATCATGCAGTACACATTTTAAAATTTCTTTCTTAAAACACTCTTATGTAGTAGGTTAGAAAAGTGATTAGATTTGGAAAAAACATTTATCAGTTCCAGCATTACATAGTTTCTAATGTTCAGTATCACAGCTCACATGAAAATATAATGTTCTATTCTCTTCTGTTAAAAATCAAGATCCTCATGCTCAATAGCTGCTCATCCATCCAACAGTTCTTATTACAGTAGCATTCAAGAAAAATTCCCTTGAGGATCATTTATTTCATAGATGGACTAACAGCCAAATTATATTTTTCATGCCATCTTTCCAAAACTATATACTCGTCCTTGCAGTTGTTTTCATTCTTACCTTTAGTTTTCTTCTTGCGTTGAATTTCTTCAAGCAATCTACAGTCTCCTGTCTGTGCATCATAGAGGCAACAGTAGAACGTTGCTGAAGAAATTAAGGAAAGAATGACTTTAAATGCATCCAAACAGACATACTGCTTTTCATTTACACTACGACATATATGTATGTTGACCTATATGGTCCAATACTTAAGTTTCCAATTTCTACCCTCTGTAAGTCTTTTCTGCAAGCCTCTACACATAAAAGAAATTTCCAAACCAACAAAAAACAAGGTCTCCTTTTACCTAGCATTTATCAGGTGTAAAGTCCTCTTGAAATAAGTTTTTCCCCATTTCTTTAGTAAGGACTAAGAAAAACACAGAATCCTAAGAGTTTGGGCTACAGAGTATAAACATAATATACTAAATATGAAAATCTTTGAAAATATGTTTTAGAACAGGAAGACAGATTTTCTTTAACATTAGTGACACTAGGTAAGGCACAGAAGCAGGAAATATTTCAGAGGAAATTCAGCAGCACTTGCATTTTCCATGTAACCCAACTTAATTTGCATTTTATAAAGGCCAGACAGTGCAGCCAATGAAAACAAATAGAGCTGAGAAACAGATCTATACACCTCACTGTGACTTTCAAAGCATCAGCCCAGATCATCTGTAAAGTCAAAACCTAGACTGCACTGAGAACTGGAAAGTAGTCCTGAATCCAGTAACACAAAGGTAGTTTCTGCTAGCAGTAATCTAACTCAACAAGTCCATTAATTTCCTGCTTTTCAATTTCATCATCATAGTTATAAGAAAAAAGATGTAAAACATTGTGCAACTGAAAATTACTTTCTTGTACATCTTTTCTTTTCTTTGAGAGCTTAAAATCATGCTCTAATTATAGCAGTGAAATTCTGCATCATGAATCCAAGGAAAAGAAGTTTGCATCTGCAAAATTTCTTCTCACAGGCTGACATACCTGTATAATTACAATTTTACACACTACTACTTTAATAACTGCAACAGAACACCACAAAAAAGAACAAAAATTACCCTCCGAACTCTTTCAGGAGATACTAAAGTATACCGTAAAGTGATTTGTCTTTCAAATTATTTTGACAAATATGTGGAAGTTACTTACACAGATCCATGGATGCTTTAGTGCTTCTGAAGCTGTGATACGTTTTGCAGGGTTGATGGTAAGCATTTTATTGATAAGGTCTTTTGCTTCAGGAGTCACTGTATCCCACTCTGGAGAGGGAAACTTAAAAAAAAAGAAAAGTATGTGTGTATTATCTTGCACGAGCACTATACAATTTTATATAAAGACATTAATTGATAACAGGTTTGTGATATTAACAGCTAGTTTTAAATTAAATACACTTTTCCACAATCAAATAAGATTGAATTAGCCAGATTTATATGCAGTGTTTTTCTACATCACTGTTTTGTTTTTTGCAATTTGGTTCAGTTGCAGAACATTTATGAACTTGCAATATTATGACAACAATTGATATTCATAGGTTAAAATATCATCTGCAGACATAAAGGAGATTCCAGTCAGCTGTGAGGAATATGATCATAAAGCATCTCAAACAGCCCTAATCTCACTTTGAATTAAGACAAAAATATTAATCATTATTATTCAAACTCTTAGTTTGCTTTCTTTCAATGTTAATATTAATACCGATTGTACAGTTATGGTATAGAAATGAAAGTAAAGAATTTAACGCCTCTTTGCTCAGCAAAATATTTGCACGTGTACTCAAAGTACTTGCTCAAATGCAAATGGAATGAAAAAATCTTAAACTATTAAAAAAAAATCTTAAACATCTTAAACTGTTGCTGTGAACAGAACACCTTGATCACATCATTTTCCAATAATAAAAATGTTTATTCTTGGATTAGAAGAATTTAATATAATCTAAATGCAGTTCATCACAGTTTGCATTAAGTACGTCTAATACAGCTTCACAGTTTAGTCTCTGTACTTACTAATTTCTTACCCTCTCAGCTGAAACTGTAACTCCCACTGTAATTCTATTTGTTACTGTATTACTTGTTCAACTGGAAGGACACTAGATAGACCACAGTATAACATAGATGGCCATAGCCATCAATTCTATAGAATTGGATTCAAATAAGAACTTCAAAATTAGAAGGTACAGTATCTTCAACATTCACAAATGACTTAAAGATGAGAATCAATGGTCCTCTGTTTTTCTATCTGCTTAATTTAATATAAACGAATGGATGATGTTGCAAAATTCACAATGCCACAAATGTTTGGGTACTACTTATCAACAGGCACAATGCTCACTTTCAAATACACTTTCAATTAATAAAACTATTCTTTTTGAGAAGGCCTATAGCTGCCTGTGTTTACAAAAGTGGGCAATATAAAAGTATTCGAGTATGTTTAGACAGTTTAAGAATTATTAAAAACAATTTAGAATAAGTGACTGGCTAAAGTGATAACCACAAGGAGTTAAGAAACATCTATTGGAAGTACAGAGGTATCAACAGGTCAGGATAACAAACTTGCACAATTTATACAATTTATACAAGGACCAGAAAATGAAAGCTTGGAGTTGTAAGGAAATTGAATTTATTTTTGCAGAGATGTATCCATCTTTATAAAGCTCATGTTACTAAAGTGACATTTACTACTCTGAATGATTCATGACAGTCAATGAAAAAAAAAAAAAAAAAGATTACAATATAAATCTAACTTTTCACTCTAGGAGATTTCCACATAGAGGTACAATTATAAATAATTCAGAAGATAGAGCATGGCACATACATCATAAGCACCAGCCTTTATCTGCTGGTAAAGTCTGTGCTGGTCTTCATCCCAGAAAGGAGGATAACCCACCAGGAGGATATACAGAATGACACCTGCAGAAATCACAGTAGTAATTAAGTAATTGCAAGACAAAAACAAACAAACAAACAAACAAAAACACCCAAAAAACAAAGAAATTCATTTTGTACCTGATAACCATGTGAAACTATGGCTCAAAAGAAGGATCCCAACTACTGAAAAACACTTCCTATCCATGCTGGGGATTAGAGTAAACATAGGGTTCATGGGACAACCTCCTACAGGGTGTGAGCAAGAATGTGCATCTGACACAAAATTAGATTTGTTAAACTGAGAATATTTAGCTAGCTGGAGAACTACAACTACAACTAATGTCAGGCAAAGAAAACTTGGGCAACTCAATTTATATTTCTATAAATATATGGTTGATAGGAAATAAAGAAGTTCACCTGCTAGTTTTACAGGGATGATTCATTATGACTAAAGAAAAATGCTCTCCTAAATACAACCAAATAAGTGTGGGCAGAAGTACAAGAAAGAAACTCATCGTTTGTTCTCACATTGGTAGCAATCCCTTTGCTAGGACCATAAATTACACTGTTTGAAGAACTGGGTGATAAAGTAATTGCTCTCTACTCAACAAAAACATTAGTCTCAGACTTCAAAACTGCAGTTCCAACATTTTGATTTTTTCTAAAAGTTAATATTGAATTTTAACTAATACCTATTTTCTGGTGTGGAATATAAGGTATTCCGGTATCCTTCCCTTAACATACTTTACAGTTGACTGAACACTGTCTTTCAGAATAATTCCTTACCACATGCCCACATATCCACAGGTTTTCCATATGGATCTTTCCGTAAGACTTCTGGAGAAAGGTATCCTGGAGTGCCAGCAAAGCCTGTCACAAGGCAAGGAAAGTACTCTCAAAAACTGTATGTGCTCCGCAAAACGCAAGTCATTTTCACGTTATCCAAGAACAACCAGGATCTTCACAAACTATCCAGCAATAACTACTTCATCTTAAACTTTTCGTTCTATGGCAAACTGCCCGAAAGTAACAATAACATAAATACAAATGCAGACCTGTCCCATTCCCTTTTTGCCACCATGTCTACATGTCTCAACAAGCCAGCTGGTTACCCGTCTATCCTAACACTGCAGATTCAACAGTTGTGTCAGGGGTGACAGTGGAAGATTTCCAGGAAGATTTCCAGATAGCTGAAAAAATTTCACTCATGACCTGTCCATTACCATAAGCTATAGAAAGACAATCAGTAGTAAGGTACAAATACATCTGTTCAGGTTCAAAGTAAAAAAAAAAAAGTCAGTGGAGCAGGGAAAACATGGGAAGCACAGAGTGATCCCCTTGGAGATATCAACTGAAAGACAGCAAATGCATTCTACGCTTGCCCAAACCTATGAATACTGTTTCCGAGGTTTGTTTTTGTTTGTTTGTTGTTTTTAATCCCTACCATAATCTAGTCTATTTTAAACTAGCGCCAAATTATACAAATTATTTTTGTAAAGATGACTCACTTGGGACTTCTGAGTCCATCTTCTCTCAGCTGTGAAGACTATTTTCACACATAAAGTACTACTTCTGGTGACATTTATGGGGAACTGATTAACAAAACACGGGGGCACTTCAGCAACACTACTGAAGCCATAAGGAACATTTTAAAAGCCCTACTCAAAGCTACATGAGGGTTAGTTTCTGAGAAAACAACATATAATACTAAATTTAGAAAAGCTGACATACGGAGCAATTTCTCATTTACAAGAAAAACAGAGTAGAAATACTGTTCTAATTTCCTTTCATAGAAGGAGAAACTCAAATCAACCAGGGCCTGACAGTGGCAAAGTAAATGCTCAGAAACGCTCATGATTAGAATTCTTGAGAGCACAACTGGCTATTGCTTTGCATAAAGACAGACAACTTAGGCTTCAGTCTTCTTACAGCTCATATTCCACACAACTACTTCTAAGATTGTTTCAATGAAACACTCACTTCCTTGAAGTGATGCAGCCTGTAGAACCCCTTACAAAAGCTCACAAAAAGCATCTCCAAAGTCATATACCCTTTACAATTTGGATGTTCTTTCTTTATTCTTCAGCAGCAGTATGATCTTCAATTAGGAGAAATAAAAAACGTAGGTTTAAATGTAGTCATTTCTCAGAATACTGTAATAGGTAAAAGCTTCATGATCCATAATGGTCTGTAGTGTTTCAGTTAGTATATATGCTCTTATAAGTATTTTTCTCTAAAATTGTATGCTTAGAAATCCTTGGAAGGTGAGATTTTGAAAAACCACCTGTTATTTCTGAAAGACCAAATGTATACCATAAGATTTGTGCTACACAGAGGATAAGCAATGAAACTTATGAAAGATGGCGATAAGGTGTGAAGTAGACAGCTACAGAAAAAGGAAGCCTTTGCCCTGCAGCTGGCAATCATTTTAGGGTGGGAAGAGGAAATGAACAAACACACTGTGTACTCTACTCAGAATGTACCTAAATAGTTTAATGAAAAACAGGCTTGCATTTTTCAGTATCCTAATATGAGAACCATGAATTATGAAGTACTGTCGTACACAGGAAACACAGTTTAAGCTCCTTTGAGAAGCTAATGAATTCATGTTCTAATTATCTTTAAATAGAGTGGTTTCATAATTTTTCCTGGAAGTAGAGCTTTACATTAATATTTTGGTCCATCTTAAATGTAAAGTTGTATTGATGTTCAACCTTACCACAGCTCCACAAACATTATCATACATCAGTTGGAACTAAACGTTACAGTGAAGATATAACAACTAGCTAACTTTGTCTTTTGATGAGGTTACAGAAGAGTCTACGCTATCAGAAATAACAACTCAGAAATAAGTCATAACAAATATGAGTGTGCTTTTCAGAGAACTATTGCTAACAGTAGTAATCAACTCAGCCACAAAAAAAAAAAAAAAGGACTTTCAAACCTGGAAATTGTGACTCTATATAATCTAGTAAAGGCTTATCACTACGTACTACTATTATCACGTGATGTTAAATACATATGCAGAGGCCCAAGAAAAATGCTGCACTGTGTCTTGTTCAATGGTGCATACACACATGAGATGGCATGTTCCTCAACCCAAATAGCTTACAGTCTCAAAAACCTCTGCAAAGATAACATACATACTTCATAAGTGGTAAGAATGTCTCGAGTCAAACCTGCACTGGAGGATAAGTATAATCCCATAAATTAAATTAACAAAAAGAGATGTATCTTAAAAACAGAGAAACAGATTATTGCATTAAGACCTGCCCTATGCTTTTATCATCCCCTTTCTAGACTTATGGCCTCAGTGGCACTCATACAAGCGTTCCAAAATAAACTGGTAGAATAAATTATGCCAGTTCAAACAGTTAAAGCTGTACATCTTTGCTAACATAACTCCTTTTGACTCAAGAATAAATGTTCAAATGAGTAGCCTGGTGAGAAGATATGAAAAATGAGGCCGCAAGGGGTAAGAACAAGCCTCTGAGAGCAAATATAGGGCAGCAGCCTTCACTTCCTGCACAGCCAGATCTAAAAGAGTAACTGTATACAATCCCAGTTTAATGCAGCTACTACTAAAGAAAAATCAGTGGAGCTACTCAAATGAACAATGTGTTGCATATTTTAGTCCTAGCTTCAGGGCTAGCTGAAGACAAGATGCAGCTGGGACTAAATCCAGCTACCAGTGAGTCAACTACAGCCCCTAGACAGACTTGAGTGAGACTCGCCTGTTACAGTGAGCAAATGGAGCCTGCCAGACACTTTCCCAGCACACTTAGCACCTGCTAGCAGGATGGGGTGTTTCCACTAAACAGATGAGCAGTTTCTACAAACAGTCATGAAACAGGTTTGCTTTATAAATATGTGAACTGTGAAAGCATCCCCATAGTATCCAAGCTTTAAGCAAAGTATCATGCCACAGGTTTACATGTACACAAAAACAAAAAAAGAAAAAAAAAGAAAAGAAAAGAAAGAAACTCTGATGCCGAGCTATAATTAGAATCAGACCATGCTATGAGTCACTGAGTGGTGCAGAATCCACTGGAAAGCAGAAAGAACACTGGAAGGAAGACAAAGTTCAGGACATCAGAGTGTTTTTGCCTTGTTAAAGCAATCATAAGAAGATTAAGGAAGGCACTCAGAACATTACTGAAAGCTTTTGCATTCCTATAGCAGTACAGAACTCACTTATTTTATCAAATATTACAATTTTTACACTATTTTCTGTCACTATTCTTCCAGCTTCTCTGTTCACTGTATATGTTATTATGAATTCATTCACCTCACTCTCTACCAAGCTCAGCATAAAGATCTCATGATGCTAAGTCTGAAACAATCACTTCAGATTCTCCAACTGACCAATAAATAAAGTGCAAGATTTTACAGGGAGCTGCAATCTCATGTGCTTTATCTGCATCCATATAGACGGAACATCTAGAGAAAATAGTCCTGAAGCTCATTCTGCTCATTTTTTCTTGAAAGGCTTCCTGTTTTCCAGATGTTTTCATCATTTTAACACATTATTTGTATTTTGTTTTCTCTCTATTCAACTCTTTTTACGCTAGTCTATTCATTAATGTGCAAGACCAATCTCCTCTCTCTTTTGTGGATTACTGAAATCCATTTATATAAAGGCTGGGATTTAAAACAGCAGGCTAGCTTATAAAGCTATCAACATATGTCCAATGGTACTGCCTGCGCATGTGGATGCATCCTAGATTTCAAACTCTCAATCTCTCAACACACCATTTGCACAAAAATCCTTCGTGCTTTTATTCTAAGCTTTGAAAGCAAGCTTGCAATTGCTTTGTTCAATTTTAAGTTGCACTTTCTAGCTGCTGTAAATGAGAATATGTAGCTGCCACGACTATATTATTGTGTGTTTTTTTCTTTCTTAGATAGAAAAAGACTTTGTGCTTGCACTTCCCATCTGTTGAAACGGTGGTATTTGAGATTGAGGAACTGTATTTGGACATTTCCTGTATTTAAAATGACCAACTGAATTTACCTACACTTTTTCCTTGGGCATCTGTGAACTGTAACAGATGATCTGTAATAAGCTTTTTTTAAATTATTATTATCATTAACAAAAAAAGGAAATACTTTAGTGGGACTAGAGAGAACTGTGTAATACTGAACTCACTACCCCCATCCTTTTTTCAGATCCTGAAGCAGAGCTTTGTACATTCCAAGTATTGACTTTGAAGATCTAGTTTAAACAGAGTTGCCATCTCCAGGAGAAAAGAAACTCTCCAATCCCAGCTTTTCATGAACTAAGCTGAGGCACAGAAAGTGCACTCTTTTGCTGGTGATATACACACACAGCTTGTTTACACATTCCAATATATCTTCGTCACCTTTGCCATCAAGGAAGTACTCTCTCAATTCCTCTCAGATCAAGATTGTATTTTCAAAAGTATCACAGTAGCAGAGAAACTCTAGTTTAAGCTTCAAAAGATACTTGTAAGTTATGGACAGATAACCTTTCCTAGACACTCTAAACCATTCTCTCATTTCTTGGATTTAAGGTGTCCATGGTCTCCCATATGAGATGCTTCTATATTAGCAGTTGAACATTACTTATAAGCTAGATTATTTTGAACTAAATGGGTCAAATAAAGTTTTGTGAACAGCTTTACTAGCAGGTCTGAAGGGGCAGTCACCTATAGGACAGCAACATAAGCAGCTGAGACATAACTTGGACTGTTACAGTGAGATGTGGATTACTGTCTAAAGTAAAATTTTCAGGTATTTCCAATGAACAAACAGCTGTTCAGATAAAGTGTTTTGACTTCTGGATGTAGGAATGGAATGTTCCAATGTTTCTGGAATGGAATTGGAATTAACAAGATAAATATTTAACTAATAGCTCTTTTCAGGGGGGTCTTCTTACTTCATCAGGGGTTTCTGATAGTCTCTGCATGCTCAGCAGATAGGTGAAGTAATTTATAGTCACAGAGATTATATAGATGGAGTAATTTATAAGTACAAAGACAGCATCTTCTATCTGTCCACCTATCTAGAATACCTCTGAGCCTTGAGTCAAAGATAAGCTAGACATCCCGCTCCTAAACAGTGTGACAAGGATATCAATAGGCTCATTATATTGAAAGACTACTAATTTTTGTTGCAGGATGGACAAGACCTGAGTGACAGAGAATTTAGGAGAAGTTAAATAATTAGCAATATATATGTTTAGATAGCAACAATTTATGTTTAGCCAGTATCCATATTTTCAGTTAAATGTAGGGAACCTGAAGTACTCAGCAAGATAAGCATTGGGCAATAGAGCATAAAAGATGTAACACTCTCTCTCAGGTGCACTCCTGCTTGCAGGATGCTCACCATTCCAATTGTGAGTAAAATCTGCTTTTATCAGAGATACCATCCTGATAAATTATGTGGATATTTCTAACGTGGGCAGCTGTACTCAACAGTATTAGCCCACAGCCTTATTCTTCAGTTACATGAGTAACTAAACGGAAATCAGCCACCTCCTTCCCAGCCTCTGTGCTTATATTTCCTTTCACAGATACAAAAGTGAAAGCGAGAAAGAAGGAGTTGTGTGAACCTAGTTTCTAATCAAACTTACAGGCAGACAAAAGGCAGGGCATACCAGAAGTTAGTAAATCTAAGTTTCAGAGTCAAGGAACGTCAAAGACATTCTGTGCCTACAGAAGAGACTCCTGCCAATTCATTTTATGCAGCAGTTTGGGAAGATGATTTAGCTTTGCCAGTGAAGAAAAGGTTATGAGGCTGAGCCTCTTCTTGCCTAATCAACCTCTTTTATACGGAAATTTATCCACGGGTCATTCTTGAAGCTTTTTCTTTTTCTCTTCTCTCTCTCTCCTGTTTTGTTGTTGTTTTTAATAAATAAAGACTGCTGCCAAGCTATCTTTAATTCTGTGAGAATCACAGATAACATTCTTCCTAGAGAAAAAGATCTAAAGTTTACCATGGTGTAGAGCTTGAACTATGAACAAAATATCCTTATAAGCTACATACCAAGTCATTACACAGCTACATGTTTTACACTAGAGTGAGAAGCTAGCAAGTTTGGGAGGCTTAGTGCCAACACTAAATAAATAATTTTAAAAAAACCCCATACTTACCAAACCAAGCCTGTTGTTCCCCTTGGACTTCTATAGCCAAACCAAAGTCTGCCAGTTTTACTGCTGCTCCCTTGGATTTGCTAGCTAAAAGTAAGTTCTCAGGCTTTATTTGGAAAGAGAAAAAAAATTGAGATTAAAAAATAAGTAAACATAATTTAGACAGCTTTTTCCCCTTTTTTTGTTGTTTTTGTTTTGTTAAGGTGGTCTGGAAAAGAAGAAATACTTTAGAGAAGTGAAAAAGAAAGAATAAACACCATGCATTTTCTCTATAAAAGTTAAAACTGTACTTTCCAGTCTTAATTCGGAAGAATCACTAGGTCTGTAAGCTACCATCATGATCCCATATGACAGCAAGACTGAAAAGTGCAAATCTTCTGGAGAAGTACATAAGCTAGAACTGCCACACGGCATTGTAATTACTTTTTGTTTCATACGACAATTCAGAGAGCCCTAAGAACTCACTGCATGGAAAAAGCCACTGAAAATCCCCGAAGCCCACATACCCTTCGATTCGCAGTCTGTCCTGCACAGTTAGTAGGATTAGGCATTTCTAACCACAAACTGTATGTTTTGCATGGTAACAACAGCAGCAGCCATTTTCACATTCGTATTTAGAGGGCAGGTGTATTTGCAGCGCAAATCTTTCTACAATAAAACAGCACACCCACACTTCTGCTTGCTGAGAACCTACTGCAAATAACAATTTAAGTCGGGGAAAGTTCCCACTTTGCTTTTTTAGGGCATGCTGGACACATCTGAAATCAAAGGCTTCACTATACCTACACAGTTAAAAGTAAAGATTTGATAATAGCGGTGTCATTCTAAACTTCATGAAGTATCCTTTGAATGTCAGTTAGCAAGTACATAGAATGTTAATCATCCAAAGATAACTTCATTCTAGGAACCCTAAAATTTTTTTACCTTACAAAATACTGAAGAATTCAACAGAACATTTCAGAAAACTGACTACTATTTTGTTTTCTTGACACTTCTTTTTTCTCTATATCTATTATTTTATTTTTTTTAATCAGCACTTCTGTAAGCAACGCCACAATGCTTATCATTTAATCACACTAATTTAAACATATAGTCATGCATGTTCTTGCAGGTTCTCTTGTCACAGTGAGAGAAGTTTACAGTAACTATTTCCCAAAGCAATGGATGATCCTTTGTGGTTATGATCTTTAGCAGTCCAAAAGCAGTGAAATGTCTCACTCTCTTGGTTGAAAGAGAACTACTGATCTACCAAGCCCTTATAAGTTGGAACATAAGGTTCCATTTGAAATAGTAGTTTTGTGTTCTTTGTTGTTCATTATTTATTTATTCCACCACACACTTTTATCTGCAAAAGTGCTCTACAAGAAACACCACCATCATGGGTGAATATTTTTCAACAGAAGATGAAGCAGATTTACTCGTATGCCACAGACAACAGCCTTTTGAGGAATGTTGTGTGGGACTATACCCCTCAACAACACACAGCTGTCACTTCTGGATGATGAGAGGCATACCAGAAAATTATCATGCATGAACTTGGAATGACTGCAAGAACTTGGAAAATGTTAACAGCCCGGTCTGGGCCATTCAGGACCCTGGATGCAATAATGTCACCCCATGTTACCAGGACTGGCTGCAGTCAAGTATGCAGAACAGCAGTGCTAACTACTGAAATTACTTACAAATAAATTAACATGATTTATGCCTTATTTTTTCAAAGGATTTTATTCAAAGAGATCAAGTACTATTTCTCTGTGTATTTTTCCTGGAATACAATTAGAGTTGAGTTGTTATGGTACTGTTGCCATTTTTTAGAAACTTTAACTTCCATGGGGAATGCAAGTGGGTAGTAATCACAGAGTTTAACAAAAGCAGCTAATTGCCAAGAACTGAAATTCCTTCATGGAAGTGCATTTTTACCATCTGTTAAAGCCAGACTTCCACTAGGAGGTCAGTTTATTCCAGACATAGGATCCACCACTACTCTGACTTACACAAGAGAAAGTAGCAACAAGCAATGTAGCAGTTGTGAGAGGCTGCAAATACTCCACTCTTTTGCCACCATGTTCTACTTAAGGATGATTAAATGAAATCAATTGCTCAACTGTTTGAATCTCCTTTATCATTGCCCTCATCACACACCCCCACATGCAACATCAAGCAGTTTAAGGATCCATGCCAAGCCATAACCATCTTCTATGTATGTTGTTGCTCTGCTCACAGGTCTCTGCATCTTCTTTTCTGCACAGGGAGTTCTGCTGGGATTTTACCACAGTCTTTCATTTGACTCTTTTTTTTTTCATTTTGCCAGAAAGGAGCAAGTGAAGAAAGAATGCTCACTCTTTCATGAAGTTTTCACTTTCAGAAATGAAGCTGGGTACTGCAGTTTGGCAGGAACACTTTTTCCTCATAATGTTTCCAGTTCACTGTGTATTTGCCAGAATCAGAAATCCACACATTTTGCCACAGTGAACAGCTGGATTTAATGCATAACTGAAAAAATACATATTTCATGGAAGTGTATGAAGGGCTCTAGAAAGCATTCCTTACTGTAGCCTTGTAAACTGACTTTTAGGCTATAATCTACTTCTTTTATTCCTTTTAATACTAAAAGCATCAAATTATGTGTGCTGTGAGGACAGGAAACTGTTGGAGCTGCTGGACAAAGAGCTAAAGCCTGGGTAAGGACCTGCCCATGTTGTACAACTGTGACTTGGGGAGATCTACAAGTGCAAAACAGATTGAAGATTTAGTGTCTCTCCAAAATTTATTATTCTCTAAGCTTTCAGAGCATAATGTTTTATGGTCACAGATGACACAGACCTTTCCAAATTCAAACAATAACTGTAACAGTTGTTTACTGAGAATTAGAAGGATGGCAATATATAAGACAGCATTCTGAGTCCAAAATTATTATTTATGATAACTACCAGAACTCTCCTATCCTGGGAGGAAATTCCTACTCCATGTAACTGATATGGGAAGAAAAATAAGTGACAGATAAGCCACGCAAGAAAGAATTAGTGTGTTCCACTGCCTTAGCCCACATGCCATTTTTCTTCTGCAAAAAATCTTCTATTTCAGATGGTACGCTTCCACTTGCTTTCAAATTGAAATCTTCTTTTACTTGATATCTTGAAGCCCCAGTGTCCAAACCGAGATCTCCTCCTTTTCCACAAGGCTGGTTTCCTACTAGCTCTGAGAGACTTGTCACTGACTTTCCCAGTAAAAGAAAACAATCTTTAATGGTTTCTTTCTATGCCAATCTGTTTTAAACGCAGGAAAAAACACTCTCCAGCCATTTGAAAATGTACATAGCTAAGAAAGAGGTAACACTCAGTACAGGAGTTTTCTTTCAAAGACTTCTACCCCAATGCTAAGTAAATATTCATCAGGTAGGACAGTCACGGTGGAAATGCTGTAAAATTTCCAGCTTTCTAGAGAGGTTCTATAGCACACACATCTGGAGGAGAGACATTTCTGTGCCAGCAGTCTCACAGCAGCTGGCCTTTTCTCACTAACGTGTGTGAAGTGCAAATTGACAGTGTCCACTTTATATTGATGAGAGACAGCTCTGGATGCCCCAAAAGCTCTGAAAGACTGTGTATTCAGTACATATGTCAAATGCTTGGAAAGTAACTATTGTTTTCCCTGGTACTGAGCAGAGGATGGTGGACTTGGATGTCCAAGTTCCCGGGGCTCAGCTAGGTATTAGCTTGTGACAGGCAAGCCACTGCGGATTTCCTCCAGCGAGCACTAGAGGCTCAGCAAAACAATGAAAGTAAAAAGGAAAAGGTTTAAATTTCCAGATCTCGCGGCTGTGAGTTAGTTCGCTGTTCTCCGCTGCCTCACGGCGCACGCCGCCTGGCAGAGGCTCCGGCTGGGGAGGGCTAGGCGGGGCAGCAGCACTCACCTTGAGGTCGCGATGGACTACGCCCATCTGATGGCAGTGGAGCACAGCCTCCAGGATCTGCTGAATGCAATGACTGCATGCAAACACCAGGGGCGCGTGTTAGTTAAAGCGTGCACCGGCCGCCCGCACGCCCGCAGCCAGGCGTCGGGGCGGCGACGAGGGGCCAGCAGCGCGGGGCCGTGCGGGCCGGGCCGGGGGCGCCGCTCTCCCCCACCGTTCCGTTCCACTCCGCTCGGCTCCGCGCGTACCGCCCCGCGCCGCCCGCCGCTCAGAGCACGACGGCCTCAGGCTCCGCCGCGGCGGCACAGGGCCGACCTCCGAGACGTGCCTCCCTTGGCTCGCTCTGCTTTCTTTGGACTTTTTAAATTTCAGGTTTCCTGTTCAAAAGCAATGTTTTCGCAAAAGTGTGTGGATTTGGCCAATTCGGTGAGATCACAGCAAAGATTGGACCTCGTCTGTACATTTTCCTGTTCATTTACTAAGGCCTTACAAATAGCAGCCGCTGAGATAGAAACCGTTGGAGGCCAGGTGTTTTAGGTAAATCATTAACTTATCTCTGTCCAATTTTGCCAGCAATTAGCATCACTTGCCTGAGGGTTCGTCATACTCTAAAGCAGCAGTGTGCGACCGGCTGTTCTGCTACTGCAACCCCGGGCTCAGCGCAGTGTCGTGTCAGTCTGCAAGCTGACATACATCACAGCCAACGTTCACCTCCATGGGCGTGCACAGCGATACACGGACAGCCTCAATAAAGTACCAGACACGTTTGACAGCATAGGACAAATCCAGAGCCGTGGGAAGAGACAGGTTTTTGGCAACCATTCCCCCTTGTGCCATGATGTATATTAGGCCTGTAGACTTGCAAACTGGAAAGAGGCATCATGCATTATTTGTCGGTCTGGCTGTTTGGAGTGAGTAGGATAGGCAAGGGAACATCGCAGCCAACCCACCCCCTGCCCCTGCCCAGCAGAAAGAAACAAAACTCTTATCCATTTGATGGGCACCAGATACTGACCTTCAGGTCTCTGTGAACTATGCCATTTAGATGACAATGATTAACACTTTCTAGAATCTGCTGTATACAATGACTGCAAAGATACAAGGGCAGAATGGAAGGGAGAACATTTTAAAGGCACATAATCACATTAAATACAAAATAAAACTAAACTTAAAAAATTATAAGGAACGAAAACAGTTTTACATCTCCTGACAAATCTTGATTGTACACTGAACTGGAGCAAAACAATGCTAAAAACTGAGATATTTCTAGCTCTAAAACATTAAAAAAAAAAAAAAAAAAAAGAAGAAGAAAAGAAAGCAAAAAAACCCCAAACCAAACCAACCAGACAAACAAGAAAACAACAGCAAAAAACAAAAAACAACAACCGCAAGAACAAAGTCAAAAGGACCAAACCAAAAAAGACACTTGACATGGAACATAAAACACCTGTTAGAATTACAGAATCATTAGATTGTATTTTCATTCAGCAGTATGGAAACTTTCTCCAGCTTCCAAAAACTGCTACTAGAAAAACAAACTAGAGACAATAAATTATTTGGTGATATCTCTTATATTTGTTGAACATTTTCACAATGAAGTTAACGTTACACAAGTGCTGAAGCAAGAATACGTTCAAAAAATGAAATGAAAAACAAAATGAAACAAAAAGTCAAAATTAAGGGAAAGCAAGGCATTTCTCATTGTGAATCTAATGGTTTCTTAAAAACTATTATCAGAATAAATAGCTAAGTCATTCTAAAAGGTGGCGTGCATTTTCATTTTAAATTTTTTTTAATTGTCAAGCAATAGTTTAGTAAAGAGTCGCTCATGAAATGGAAATCCACATTAAAAATGGAGACAGGCATTTTGTTTTGGCTATTTAAACAAAAGAGCACCTATTTTTTCATGTCCAGGTTTGCAAGTTTTGGCCAGCGTACAATGCCAAAAAGCACAACTAATATATTCATCTTTTACAGCACTGCAACTTTTTAAGATGTTTTTCAGCACTACAAGAGCTCATAAATTTTGGTTTTTTTAAGACATCCTCGTGGCAAAAGTCAGTGACTGTAAGAAATAAACTGTAGTAATGGGCCAGAGATTTGATTTGGTTCATCCAAAATGTTTTGGCCATGGAATTCAGAAGGAATGGTCATAAATCAGTAACTGGAGCCCAAACCTGAAAACCATTTCTTATGCAAATAGCTCACAACTTGCTGAACTAGATTGCTCATATGAGTAAAGACTACTTGCATGAGTAAGGGCTTGCAGGAGCAGACCAATATTAAAATCCTAGGATATGTATCTAAAAAGTCCATGAACTATTTCTAAGGCATACACACACTCACAGACATACAGGCACATATGCACTATATATATAAATATATATATATACACACAAGTATATATATATATAAATATATAAAAATGAAGATACAAAATTAATAGAAATTTCATTCATTTGATCAAGTTTTACTAAATATATAAATGCATATATACATAAGCACAGCCCTTCCAATATGCAATAACTCTAGAACAGAAAAAAATCACTGCAGTTTTCACTTTCAAATCACAATTATCTTAAAACACACAATGGCACCATATAATGGTCTTTGGCATCAATATTATAAACTTTGCCTGAATCACAGCAGGCAAAAATCACCAAAATTTTCTTTAAACATAGCTCTTCTTCTTCCACCCAAGTAAACTACTAATCCTTCTACTCTATGTTCTGCCATGTTTTGTTCTACATTTAAATGTTTACAATACTGATGTTTCTTACCATTTCCCCAGAAATTAGTCAGAGTATTAAACAGGGGAAGCTTCCTAATATTTTGCCTAACTTCTTGTTTGTTCCTTATTATTATTATTATTATTATTATTATTATTGACACTTAATGTTTTTCAGTTATCTACTAATTCCAATTATAAAGAAATCTAACTGTGCCTATTTAACTGTGCAAAATGTCTATCAGTGGTGGTGTGTGGCTATGAAAGCAGAAAACTATGATGATTCTTCAAATTTAGTCTGAATTAGATTTTCTGTGTAAAATTTAGTTGTAGGACATTTCTTCCTTTAAAAAAAAGCAACTGACCACAAAGTTTGAAATTCATTATTGCATAGAAATATTTAAGATTCATTATTGTATGAGGACAACTAGATTCTGAGATGGAAAAATAGCCTGATGTTTTATGCCAGCACGCAAATTATGATAATCTGCCATTTATTCAAGTTTTTCAACAAGCACTTGCAGCAAATTACTAGAGATTTCAAATCTGAGCTCAGACAATGAGATACACAGTATAATTGCTTATTGATGAAACACAACAAAAAAAAAGTTTAAATATGAAAAGCAAATTAGGACTTCTGGACCTAGAAAAAAACGATATTTAATGTAGTATTCTTTTAAGACCAACATATATTCAAATTTTAATTAGCAAATATAAGAGCCATCAGATTGCTGAAATATTATGTCCAGTTTGCAGAAGGGAAAACTGGATAATGTTTTTAATCCAAATCACTAGTTTCCAAAGATTTATCAAACTGAGATTTAATTTGAGCTTTTGCAGGCCAGCAGACATCAAATCTTGTGTGATCATCACCACACAGTCTTGAGCTCAAGACCCCAAACTGCCTCTTCCCAGGTGTAAGAGAACTCTAGGAGAAATCCAAGAGTCTCACAGACTCTGCTAGTCTAACTGATGCCAAACACCATGAGATATTTAAGTACCTATACTTGTACTGGTACATTAAAGACAACATCAGAAAAACACATTACTTACCTGGCATCTGCTTCACTGTAATACTCTCTTGCAACTATATCTTCAAACAATTCGCCTCCAGTGACTCTGTTAGAAAAAGTAAGACAGGAAAGGGGATTTCAGAAAAGAAGACATATCTTAAACATAGCTTGATAGAGAGAAGTCAGAATGGAATAACTGAAATATTTGTATAGAAATGAAAGAGATTTTGACCTGCAAAGTGAAGGGACTAAATTGGTAGGTTGGACAAATTACATGATTACATCAGCAGCAGCGGAAGAGCAATCATAACTGGAAAATAAAAGCAAAGAGCAGCAATTATTTGGAATATATCAGTTAAGTGTATCAAAAGCAAGCAGTAAAACTATGTGAATATACGGGAACTGTCCAGAAGACAAGATTGTGGCTTAAGTTCAGAACAGCCCAGGATAAGCTGAGAACTGCAACGTAAATTAGACATAAGAAAGGATACAATAATACTAAAAAGGGAAGTATAGATTGAAACAGAACAGAGGTTTTACTCATGTGCCAGATCAGTTTGGCTTTTGTACTTTGGTTAGAAAAAGAATTTCTGAGCTGGAGGGAAAGTGTCAAAAGTAGTAGTGTACTATATAGTGTAATAATCAGTTAATTGGCATTTCTTTTCATAAAATATTTTCAGTTGTCTTTTGTCAAGAATGCTTTAGTGAAATTGCCACTTAAAGTAAGTTAGTTAGAGGCATTAGTAGTGCAAAAGAAGTATATGAAATAGAGAATTAGTAACGGAGGGAACTGTGCGTGCTTATGTATTCAGGATTTCACTGTATAACCAATAGCTTAATACTAGGACGTGGCTAAGAAGAAAAAAAACACGTGTTGTTACAAATGAAAGATGACAGCCCAGAATAAGTCACTAGCAGGATGCTGCTTAGAATGCATTTAAAGTAGGGTAACAGCTATCCCTACAAACAACAGTAAAACCTTTCCTCATATATCATACACAGTTCTGCCATGTTCAGAAATGGGAATTAAAACAGCAATATGAGTGGAAAATTGCTAATAGGCTATCCATTCACTTACTCATCCTGCCAAAGGAAAGTCAGCTAAGCTTGGCAAAAAAATATTTTAAAAGACTAAAAATGAATAATAAAAACAAAAAGCATAAACCATTCTCTCTATAAAAGCTAGTTATAAGAAGCAGTATTGGTACAACACTAAGTAAGCACATTGTATCTGAATAAATACAAGCTTGAAATCAGGAGAGGTTTAGTAGCAATTGGTGAACTGGCATAATGAAAATGGTTTAGTTAAAGTAGAAGAGACAGCTGCTCTGTTTTTAAGATGAAGATTTATGAGCTTTTAAATAAAATCATACATTTGTCTGCCTGTGTTAACTGGACTCAGAAACAGGAAGACCTTTCCAGTACTATACTCTTATTCCAGGGGTCATCCTCTTCTCTCAGGTAACTAGTGATAGGACAAGAGGTATTGGTTTTAAGTTGCACCAGGGGAGGTTCAGGCTGGATATTAAGAAAAAGTTCTTCTCTGAAAGAGTGGCCAAGTATTGGAACAGGCCGTCCAGACAAGTGGTAGAGTCACCATCCCCAGAGGCATTCAAGAAAAGGGACGTGGTTTAGTGGGCAAAGTGGTGATGGGTTGATGGTTGGGCTAGATGATCGTAGTCTTTTCCAACCTTAATGATTCTATGATTTTTCTTTTATAGAATGCACTGGAATGCTTTCACAGATAAATGCAAATCTTCGTATACTTAAGGTGTTATGCTGAACTGTTGAAAACCGATGCAAACCTTGCAAATGCACAAAATGGAGTACCCTCGTGCATAGCCTAAACAAAGCACCTCTGAGCAGAGTGCATGAGTCAATCTGATTCATGCTTTCCAAAACTTTGATCCTACTGATAGGCCAACATCAGTAGTTCCTACGTGGATGATCAGTGTTTGTATTTCATGCCCATTTATGAATGTAGTGAACTTTCATATAGCAGCACATTGTTACCTCAGAGTGAAGGTCCAAAGTTAAAAGCTAGAGTAGGCTATAAGATATTTAAAGATTAAAATGCTTAAAAATCTAAACAACAATGAATGTCTTTATTGAATACAATTAAGTCTAATATAATTAGGAAATTAAAAGTAAGTAAATTTGGAATCTTCAGAAACAAAGCATTCATTTGCAACTTGATATACTAACAATTCCTCTTAGATCTGCTACTTAGATGATGACAAAAGGCACTCACTCAACCAGTAACACAATCTCTTTCTTTGAGAAAGCCAGTTAAAAACTTGTTTTTGTGTTTCCATTTACATTTGAGTTACATCATCCTTTTTTTGAGTTCACAACTTATTGACTTCGGAAGATAATCACTTCCAGGTAACTATGCTATTTTGTGCAAAAGTCTGCAATAAAATCTGGAAGAGATAAAACAGAAGGTTCTCTTATTCAAACTCTCTTTCCTTTGCCTTCTACCTTCCCAAAATGCTTTGGTTGCTCTAACACAAAATGCTTAATTGATGCATATTTTGACAGTCTTTGATATCTCTGTTCTGTATATATGTTTCTCTACCACAGTTCTGGTAAACAATAATAATTCTCACTTTGTGATGAATGCAAAAACAAAGGATTCTTTGATGTTATTCTTCCCTAAAACAGTCATTTTTGATCCAAGCCAAAAAAGAAAAGCAAAAGCTTTTGTCATCAAAGCAAGTTTCAGTTGGATAGAACACCAAACTGATGCTTCTTGAGAGCGCTAAACACTCTTATTTGCTGACACAAAACATTTGCTTGGCATTCATAACCATTATTAAAAGATGAAAAAAATGAAAGCAAGAACAGAGGAGGGGAATTCAACTGACAAGAAAACAAGTAGTCATGCTATCACTGCTGTCATACATTAAGAGTAATTCTCAGAAGATAGCTAAGTGGCTGTAACAAAGGTAGGTAGTACAGGGGACTAAGAGACACCAGAACATACGTGTGTCTTCTGAGACTCTGGCTCAGAGAAATTCTTCACAGCAGTGTTAGTAATCTTTTCTAATTGAACGTGAGCAAGCCATTTGCCCTTCTAGAAGTCAAGAAGTCTAGAAGTCAACTGTACCATACTAAAAACTGTGTCTTCCTTTGCACTGGGCTCATGAGACCCACAAATCCTCCCTTTTGTCATTCGCAGTATACAGCTGATACTGATGTTCTGAATTGAGTGTAAGGGAAGGCAACGAAGGTGGTTAGAGTTGGAGCATGAACTGTACAATGAGTGACTAAGAGAACTATTAAAATGAGAAACCTCAGAAGAGATCTCATTGCTGTCTACAACTCTGTAATGGACGGGTATGCCGAGACAGCAGGAAAGGCAACAGATACAGTGGAACAAGAGAAGTACTAAATAGATAAAAGGAATTTTTTCTCCTATTTATTTTTTTTGTGATGCACATATTGCTCAAAGAGGTTGCCAAATTTCCGTGTTTGAAGATGTTCCAACCACAACAAATCCCTGAGAAACCTGATTCAGTTGGACTTGGTTCAAGAAAGGTGGTTAGACCAGATAACTTCTAGGGATTCTTATCAACCTATGTTTTTCACTGATTGTGTAAATAAGAACGCAACCAACATTACCAACAGCCTTCTCTTTATACTGCATAACAGTTTAATACCAAAGCAGTTTCAAAGCATTTTACTACTTACTAGACATCTTTTTGCAAAGTAGTTTTTTTTGCCCTGCATTTACAATTACAAAACACGATGACTAGTGAAAGACCTGTGTTAACCAGCATAAACTACACAAATACAAGAGGTCCTCCATGATGAGGTTTTTGTAGCCTAGCAAAGGCCATGACCTGAAATGAAAGTGTGATGTGCTTTTTGGAGAATTCATGGCTCAGTGATAGTGCTCTGTTACCAGTAAGAGCATTGAATTGCCTTACATGGAGAGGTGTGCTGAAATGAGAACTCTTGGAGGTGTTGCTTATCAACAGAAATACTTAGGCTGATCTCTAAAATTAAATTACAAAAGGATATCAAAATAGGATTTATTTATAGTTTGACTACTACTTCTGTAAAGTACTTTCTTTTCTAGACTAAAATAATTAAAAACTGATATATTGTGCCATTCAGGAAAAAAATGCCTGATACATAGATTTTAGTCTACAATACATAAATTAGAAGCAAGCTATCGGTAAAGCTAGATTTTCAAGTATTTCCAGACAGACTGTATACAATATAAATGAGGATTGTAAAGAAAAAAGAAGTAAAAAAATAAACATACAAAAAAAAAAAAAAAAAAAAAAAAAAAAACCAGCTAATTTTGATCCTACACTAGAAAGCTACACGAGCAGCAGCCAACTTATTTTCTCCCCCCAAAATGAAAATACAGTGTAAATGATGAGGTGGTAGCTCACATCAAGATAATCATGATACAGGTTTCAGTATACTCTAGGGTACAACTAAAAGCCAATGACTCTCAAATTCTTCTTGTTCTTGTGTAATTTTAAAGCATACTAAAAAGGTAACAAATAAAACATATGGATTTGTTTAAACAATAGTAGTGCAAGCACCATGCAGAAACAAGAAGGCTGTCTGCACCAGGAATATCTTTTGGAAGAGCCACTGAGAGGCATGCACTGCATATACAAAGGATGTTATTTCTATTTAATCTCCAAAGATGTGTAAGAGGCAGTTTTTAACTGCTCTATTCCAAAACCTTTTGGACTTGTCTTTCTACAATAACTGAAAAACGTTACCACATTTAGAATATTGAATACCACATTTTCCCTTTTGGAAACATTCACAGCAATGCATAAAAGAATATTTACTTCATATACCATAATCAGTTGGTAAGGAAAACTTCTAAATATGAAAAAATGAAAAAGTCTTCATGATTGTATAGGCTCTTTCTCATTTCTTAAGCTGCATAATAAAGGTGGGGGGAAACAGTCCTATAAAAATGACAGCATGCATCTTTAGTTTTTTTTTGTTTATCTGTGACACAAAGTTTCAGGCACTTACTCTAGGCAGATTGTTCTGCAACTAGCCACTTTTTCTTCCTTCTACACATTGCAGTCCCTCCACTTGGAATTCAACAGCAATGCCAGGATTCTAAATGTGCCAATTGTTATATCTCAGCAAGTGCATTAAAATGAGAGACACTGAGAAAACAGAATTTCATTGACTTGCACAAAAGAGTCTTCAAGTGCTACAGCTGTTTCCATTGAGATACTGTATCTGACAGAATTGGTTGGATTTGAACTCATGTAACATTATTAATACTGAAAACATTATTAATACTGAAAACAATCTTCTGTATGCTTAGCTACTGAAATGGGTTGATTAAGAGACACAAATCCTAACTACAGTTGTCCTAACCATTAGAGGAAGAGGAGTAAGAAATGTGATAAAGTCCATTACTAATTTTATTATGCACACCTTATTATCAGAAATCACTTTACCTATTTGTAGAAAATTAACTGGTGCAAGTACTTTGCTTGGGAGAAGTATCACAGAAGGCTGCCCTGGTTAACTTACTTTTTTTCTTTTTTAATTTTCTTTAATATGGAAGAATAATGTTAATAGATCAGTAAAATGACTGTTCCTTGGTCATGACACCAAGGAGACACTTTTCTAATTTGCCCAGTAAAGTACAAAATAACACCCATACTCCAAAATTAAATGACCATTTACATATTTCAATTGTATATTCAGAGTGAGTCAGCAACCAAAAGAATTATATATGGCACATCAATACTTCAGGAGAGCTAATTCTCTCATAAGCAGCGCTTCTTACAGGAACATCCCAATGCTGCCAATAAAAGAAGCATTCCTTCTAGCAGAAAGCATTTCATTAAATGTTAATTGTCCAGATTCCACAAGGATTTTAAAAGACTTTCACCTTCCCATTTTGCAATTAGAACTCTTCAGCCAAATGCAAGCCTATAACAAGGTACATTAATCACTTTTTTTCTCTCCATATGAAAGCAGAATAATCACAAAGGTACACAAGCAAAGCAGCAGGCTTCTCCTTCAGACATCTCTATGACATTTATTTACAAGAATCATTAGAAATTCAAAATAGAATGTGACAGTGATCTTTTTTTCTATTTGCAGAAAAAGATCTCTTCCTCTGCACTTTATGTGGGATGCAGGTTAAGGGAGATTTCTCAGGAAACTGTAGCAGCAAATCCCACACAGTCTGAAAGAAATCATCAAGATAAAAACATGATAGCACGTGTGGGTGGAGTGACAGTGTTATACTACAATTGAGCTTCAGCAGGAAAAATAAATAAATAAAAGTATGAACTTGGTCTTCATATTAAGAAGTCAATATAGCAGCTCCTTTATGCTCATTTAAACAAGCCACTCAACTATATTTTTATAACTGTAGTAAAAAGAAGTAGTTTCAATAATCAATAGTATTGTTAAGTAACAAAGCAGCAATTTCTTAGTTTGAATGTAAAATGAACTATGAAAAACCATCTTTGGCAATGAGGCAAAGTTCAAGAATGGAAGAGGCAGTTTTTCCAAAGATACTACCAGTAAGTACAGTTACCACCTTTACCATTTAGACGTTTTGCCTTTGCAAAAATAATTCACTTTGATTAAAAAAAATCCAAACGTAAAAAGCTGTACATATATGTTAAAGCCATCCTTGTTGGAAGAGGCTGAAAAAACAAACGTGTGGACTGCTCTAGATGAACAGCAGATGTATGAGTCTATCTCTGTTTGTCCTGGACGGAACTGACACTGAAGTAAAGGAAGTTTCAGCCCAGTGCAGAATATTTGATACACAATCTTTTTTTTTGTTTGTTTGTTTTTGGCAATAATGTACTTAGCCGATATCAGATACATAAGTTAATGTAAAAGTACTCTAAGGGCAATTACAGTAGGCCACATTAAGATTACACTAATACAGTACAAAACTAAGATGCCACCAGTTTACAAAAGGGAGACTGCTCCCAGAACTAGAAATTCTACGTATATTTCTTGAAAATGTTCAGAATTAAGAATATTTTACCAATCCTACAAATAAATAAATAAATAATCATTTGTAGCCCTTACTTTAAAAGAAAAAAAGAAGTATGTGTCAAAAAACAAGAATGCACATTATGCCCTAGAGCTGCTTCTACACCAACAGTTGGAATGCTTACCTGCAATATATGCAAATCAGATATAAGTTCCTGTTGTGCTCACTTTAGATCAGAGTACCAAACCCTGAAGGCCTTCACTGCAGACAGACCATGTACTTAATGTTTTTGTATTGCTAGTCTAAAAGTTTTGAAGGTCTTGAAGAAGTCCTCTCCTAGTGGGTGACACATTGGCCCATGAGCCAGCAGTGTGCCCGGGTAGCCAAGAAGGCCAATGGTATCCTGAGGTGCATGCATTAAAAGGAGTATGGCCAGCAGGTCAAGGGAAGTGATCCTCCCCCTCTACTCTGCCCTGGTCAGGCCTCACCTGGAGTACTGTATCCAGTTCTGGGCTCCCCAGTACACAAAAGACAGGGATCTCCTGGAAAGAGTCCAGCGGAGGGCCATGAAGATGATAAAGTGCCTGGAGCATCTCTCTTATGAGGAAAGGCTGAGCGACCTGGGTCTGTTCAGCCTTGAGAAAAGAAGAGTAAGATGTGATCTTATTAATATCTTATGAATATCTTAAGTGTGGGAGTCAAAGAGAAACTGCCAACGTCTTTTCAGTGGTCTGTGGGGACAGGACAAGGGGAAATGGCCATAGACATGAGCATAGGAAGTTCTGGAGCACTGGAACAGGCTGCCCACAGAGGTTGTGGATTCTCCTTCTTTCTCCTTCTCTGGAGACATTCAAGACCTTCCTGGACGCCTGCTTCTGTAGCCTGCTATAGGGGGCCTGCTTTGCATGGGGGTTGGACTCGATGATCTATGGAGGTCCCTTCCAGCCCCTACAATTCTGTGATACTGTCAAATATTCCTTTAAAAAAAATTGTCATAAAATAAAACAAATGTAACATGAACATAAAAGCTACTGACTGAGGAGGATCTTGGTTCTAACTTACCTAACATGAATATAAATTTGTTTGTATGCCCTGAAATGAGCTATTTCATATTTCAAACACAATAATGTATTCTTATTTCAAACAGGAAAAAACATGTTGGGCCTAAGAAAGCTCTTAGTAGGAGAAAGAGGAGGAAGAATTTGTCACACCTGTAAGCTGCCCTGGAAAAATATGCAATTGAAAAGAAAAAAATTTACTTAAATATGTCAGTTGTGCAAGAAAATCCCCAACTATTTGTGTTTGTGTTTGCCCATATGCAGAACCAAAAGCAGTAGCTTTTCACATGAACAGAAAAGAATATTAGTGTGTCTGCTTCTAAGTTTAGAGTCTGCTACATGTAGGTTTATATTGTCAAACACTCCTTTTACTAAACAGGATTACCTGGAAGAAACAAGCTACTCTCCCCTCCTATACTCCACAACATCCCAACAGCTCATAGGATTCAAATTTGTGGAGTAAGATGAGAAATAAAATGAAAATTCTTTCTGTATGCTGGGTACACTTCATTCTGAACAGAGTCAAAATGAAACTAGTTTTCCATTTCAGTAAAACATAAATCAGTAATAAACTACTGATATAGTCTTTTTTCTCATTAGGGAAATTAGGCTCACCTTTCAATGCAGCAATGAGTATTTTCTACTACTCCACTTGCTTATGTTTATCACCAGCTTGCTGTGAATTATTTTTTCAGAATTGTGCATTGGTTCAGCTTTGTCAGTTATCATGCAAATTTTAATTACATATCTAAATTTAATATTAAAATACAATTCAACAGCATCTATACTTATTTGAAAGCTTTAACATGGAATTCTTACAGTGACACTTAGAAATCAGCTTTTACACATGCAAATGTTACCATCCTTCTAGCTGTTTATATTTATTTGTTCAATTTGTTGTACCAAACCTGCACATTTATCTTGTGAGTTTGTATTTACATCTAAGAATTTTGAACACCACATCCCCAGTATGGTAAACACATGTAAAAGACATACTTACAAGTCAAAGACTAAGTAATGGAATCCCTCTTCTGATATGCTGTCATGAAGCCGCACTATTGAAGGGGAAAAAAGATAAAAACCAGTCATCTTTTCCATGTCTTTCATGTCTGACTTCGATTTTTGGGAACTGCTGATATTCTACATCTATGTATATGTTCTCATCTGTTTATTTTGTGGTGCATTTTTCGCTCATTTGTTTTTATTTAAATTCTTTACCCTAAGAATAATCTTTCTCACAAGATGAGTTAAGCAATGATGTTGTAAGACTGTATATGCAGCTACTTTTAAAAGTGCTCTGCTCTTGTCATGCTACCACAGAATGCTGCAGTCATTTCCAATCAATTCCTACATATATAGATACATAAGACACAAACCACACACAGCGTACTTTACTTTTGCCCTTCATGCTGAATGATGGCTAAACAAATACTAAAAAGCACAGTCAGACTTCATCTAAATCTATTGCAGTGATATTTTTCTACTCTTCTTCCTAAGCAGAACCTCCAATCAGTCTTTCAAATAGCATATGCAGGAGTACCCAGTCACTGGACTTTTATCTTAAAATAGTATTCTTAATCTCATACAGCTGTTTTCCCAACAGCATTACATCCCAGACATTGTTAACAAAACAAAATGAAACAAATACCAATAAAAAAAGCGCCTCAATTAGCTATCTGTTTCAGCACAATCACAAACTTTAAGGGCTATATTAACAAATTCTGTCATCAGACAATAGGTGTTGATTTTGAAAGAGAAAGCATCATCTTTGCTGAAAGTGTTGGACTATTAAAAATGGAAATCAGAAGTACATATTCTGTTCATAGCTCACAATTCTTTAGCTAATCATTGAAAAGGAACTTAAAATCACTGCCAGTAGTGTCTAGTTTGCTTTTTTTTTTTTTTTGGTCTAACATTTATCTTAATCTAAATTTAAATTATATGCCTTAAATTTTAGTCCAGATAAAATAGTCAATTCAAACATTTGACTGTGTAAAATAACCAGACTAATTAATTATACCTTAACGCAGTCATCTGCAACTGCTCAGAAATACAGTGCATCCTCCCTTTAAAAATCAGTTTTCTGTTCCCTGGAAACATATTCTTCTTTGTTAGGAACATACCACACTTGAAGGTGAAAAAAAAAAATAATGAAGCAACCTAGTGTGAATGTTATTTAAACTCCCTTAAAAAAACACACAAATACCAAATCCACCTGCTCATCCCTTCCTTAGCCAGTAAGGCCAACTAGGTAACAACTACATGCATGCCATATCTTTGAGAATAGTCTCCAAGAACAACATTCCCTACTGAGACTCCTTAAGTAAAATAACGACACACTCATGAAAAAAAGAAAAAAAAAAAAAAAAAAAGGCAGAAGAATCCATAAAATACTGATTCCACACACAGTGTAAATCAGCAGTGTATTTTCTCGGTGAGATGTCTGTGCACCAGTGCATGGGAGACAAAAAAAAAATTAAAAAAAAAGAAAAGAAAAAAGATCAGTGTAGAAAGAGATTTTGATAATAGCAAACTTATTCGTACAGGCTTACTCATATCCATTGAAAACATGGTATTAAATATTGACCTTAGTTTTAAGAAGTTATACATTCATTTATGAAAGCAGACAAACAAAATATATATAAAACCTTCAAACTCTAAAACTAGATGTATGTGAAGATGCTCAGAGGAAAAAAAATATGAGGAAAGAATTCACTCGCAATTCATCTGAAATGAACTGAGGTGAAGGGTATGCCAGCTGGAAACCTGGAAATGGGGATATGGATGTGAAACAAAGAGGAAGCTAAAGCCAATGCAATTACAAATTGAATCAATCTGAGAAGAAAGCAAGCTCTGATTGAAAGTCTGGCAGACTTCTGTAAGGAAGATGCATTTTCCTGCTACTAAGTAAGTAAATAAATAACCAGCTGCATCAAACTTTACTGACTCCATCGCTATCTGTCTCTAAATTGACACATCTAAATGGTTTCTAAAAGGGAATGTGCTATATTCCCACTCATATTTCTATCATGTATGTATCTATTTCCCTCTGATCTTCTTAACTGTCATCCACTTCAACCACATGAATGGTTTAGAGCTGTGCAGAGATAAATCTACTTGCAAATTGATGCCTGTCAATGAATGCCCAATTTCCACAGTGGCAGCCAACAGTATAGTTGAAAGACTAAAATGAAGAGACTACACAATCTCCTGGCTGCTGGTCCTTGGCCAGAACTACAGACAGCAAGGATAGTCATGAAGAGTAAAGGAATGAGTGCTTGGGGATATGACAGCTCAGTAAGCCAACTGCCTCTTGTTGTATCGTTTTGAAGAGTGATTTCCTGAAAAACTTAAGAGTGGACTCGCCAGAAGCAGAAAGACGTGATGTCCTGGAAACACTCATTACAGTGCTAGTCATAGCTTACACACTCACAGCATTCCAGTAAGATTAAAATTGTGCATGATTGTTGTAAACCGTTGACAATATGCCTATGTACTTACACTTTTATTTTTCTCTATGAATGCACTACAAGTCAGTTGTCAAACCTTCATTTTCAATTAAAAAAACTAAGTAGAACTATGAATTAATGTGTGGTTTCTTTTAGTTGCTTTAAAGAAAATTGCAATTCCCAAAGCTAATTGTCCCTCATTATAAAGAAGCTCTGTCAGTACCTCAATCCAAAGCATAATTGCTTACAGAACCAAATAAAAAAATCAAGATACCCTAAAATCACTTTGTGTTCAAAACTGAGCTAATTAAGAAAGTACAGCAAAATTATTTTTAGATTTCCCTATAAGGTAGCTTCATATGTTATTTGGTTTTCATACAATGTATGACATTTAAAACAAAGTGAAATAAACATGATCTTTTTACTTAATAATACTTAGCCCAGGGAAACATCTTGTGTTTACACAACACTGACAAAACGACTAATTTTTGGCTGACTTGCTCCCCTCAGCTTGTGATGATTCACAAAAGCCAAGTAGGTCTGAATCAGAATCTGGTTCTGTATTCTAGATTTGTCTCAGTTTTTACAACGTAGCGAGCCTCAAGCACGAAAGGCTAAGGTAGTGCATTGCTGCTGCCGTAAAACATACCATATTTATAGACATTAGAGGGACACGCAGATTAGAATATCAGATCACTCAGTGTAAATGTCAACTTGTATGAAATATAATTGATTGAAAAACTGGAGCGTGCCAAAAGTGTAAGTACGACTAATCAGATAACAGTGCAGTAGCAGCAAGAAATAGAAATCTTCCAGTTCTTTGTACCAGTGCATTTCCAAATAACTCTAGGGAATATCACTCATCACATGCTATTTATTTGTGTCGTTTTTTTAACCTTTATTTTCAATTGAGTTCTTTAAGTTCAAATTTCAACATCCCCAAATGTCTGCTTTTTAAAGCAAACCAAATGTGGGATGAGAACCAAGTACTTGCCTAGAACAGTAACCTGAAACTTCTAATTCAGAATCGAAACCACAAAAAACATTTGGCTTTTGAGTAGAGTACTTCAAACAGCAGTGTCAAAAATACTACTGATGAATAAGTGCTCAGAAATTAGCGATGGCAGTTGGTACAGTCTCTTGATTATGTCACAGCAATGCAATACCAACCTAAAACAGTGAACTTAGTAAAATCACCTAAAAAAATCCAGCTAGCACATTTTGTATCTATTTAAAATTAATACATAGAAAATTATATATTTTGATAGCAACTGAAATGGCTAAGAACTTAAACCATAGTTTTTCAGTGAACACTTTGTGTCATTATAGCAAACCTCTCCTTGTTGCTTGCTGAAAGCCCTCTATTCAGACACACAGAAGCCTTCATATTTGATTTCCCACACCACGTACAGCTATTCAGAAATACCAAATACTTCTCTCTAGGCAAGATATTTGCTACCAACTGCTTCTTCAAAGAGATCTGAAACATTTAAATCAACCTGAATGTTTCAATTCTCTAAAGACATTACAAAAAGCATTGCTTCCTAAAATTTAAAAAAGAAATGCACTTCTAAGACACTACTTTGGTATCAAAACAGCCTTGAGCTTGCAGCTGCAGAATAGTCAGCAGCCTATATATTCATATACACACAATTTTCATATTTCGCTTCTTCCACTGCTACAGCATGGAATTTCAGATAATCAGCTGAAGCAGACTGTATTCTTTAATTATCACTGCATTCTTAAGAGAATTATCATTGCATTCTTAAGAGAATTAATTTATAGCATGCCTATATAAAAAAAGCTTCCTGGGTAAAAACAAAGGCAACATGGACTTACATTCATGAAAGCACAGTTTAAAAACTGTGACCCTGAAGTCAACGGTACAAGTTTTATCTTGGATAGAAGCATCTGTCATACTTTTGCAACTAGGTAGACCAGTGTGGCATTGTGGGAATGGGTTCCTAGAACTTTCCCTGCTGCTTGAAACAGGAGGTGCACTCTCTTCATCATGCACTTGTGTAAATGGCCTTTTCTTCATTCAGCGTCATGTAAGACCTGTAGTTCCCCTCTGACTAGAAAAGGATTGGGTTTTGAGATTATGAACTACGCATTTTCTCAGGCTGGCGAGGCTATTTTATTACTCATCAAGCTGTAGCCTGACATGTCCACAGAGATTTCTTCTTCAAAGATCTTTTTTTTTTCTTTCCTCCCATCTGACTCATAGGAGTGAGACAGGACAAAACCTCTGAATCAGGATCACATGCCTGTGATTGTCTCTGAAAAGCAAAACAAGTTGAGGCTGCCAGAAAAGATCAAAAACTGTCTTTTGGCAAGTGCCTTTGTTGAATTCTTCAGTCAGTTCAAATACAGTTTTTTGTCAGTAAATCTGCTGAATGGAAATCGCAAATAAGAATGGGCAACCAAGAAAAATCCATGGTGCAGATAAGCGAGCCTGACAATCTGGAGTAGAGGGTGCACAACTGCACAGAGGCAAATGCAACGCGGCCCAGATCTTGGCACTGCACTCTGCCTGCAGGCAGCCCCCAAGTCAGCTTTGCACTGGAGAAGACAAGAGATGTGGTGGTGACAATCTGAGAAGTTAT